CCCAAATTTTTAAGGAAATTGACTACATTTATAACACTAAGAGTACCACTACCTTTTCAACTCAGGTACACAAGAAGGAAGTGTTTAAGATTGACTAAATACTCTCAAAGTAAAATTATAAAAGTTGAAGACCTAGAGGTATTGATTATATCACAATAATAAAGCTCAAAGAAGTTTAATGATCAAAGTGAGTAGAAATAATAATAAATAGATTTAACGCATTGAGAGTAATTAAAAATAAATTCAATATCAATGAAACAATGATTAAGAGTGGTTGGAGGTGTAATAAATGAGCATATACGAGTTTTTAATAAAATATAGTCATTATTAGCTTTAAAAATACTTGCTGGAATGCTGGCTAATAAGTATTCAAATATGTTTTTTTTTAAGGAAGAATTTGAATACTTTGAAAAAAAAGTAATTTAATATTTTTTGCTTCAGTAAAGTATTCAAATACTTTGTTCATTGAAGCCAATTATATAGAATTTTTTAGTCTAATTTAATTCTAACCAACTTCCAACTAGTTTATATGAATGTTCTTGACTTGAGTAAAATATTTTAAAGTTTTAGAGAAGAATCTTTTCTATGAATTTTTCAAATTGCTTTTAAGTATTTTATGTAATGGTTTATGCACTTGAAAAACAAGTTTACTTTCAACTCATTCATGAAGTCATATAAATATATTACTTGCAAGTTCTTAAACTTAGGTTTTTCCATTGTAACTTGAATCTTCATCTCATTTGATCTTTGTAATATATTTTGATGGATTATACCCTTGTTGAGTTGTATTTCTCATATTTCTTTTTTATTATTGCAAGTTGTAACATTTTTGAAATATTCTTTCCATCCTTATTTGCTATTATCAAAACTCTTACATATTTCAATTCTTCATCTTAATTGCTTTAGTTCCCCAAAATAGCTATTATAGAAACATTGAAAATATGCTTTAATAACAGAGAGTAATTACAAATAAAAGTTTAACTGATATAAAAATAATAAAAATGTTGCGATATCAAATATATTGAAAATGACCAAGTACACTTTTCATTCCTAAAAAAATATAAGGGTCAACCCGGAACTCCGCACTACTCATTGGATTGGTTTGAGTCAAGTATCGGATCGGCCACATATCGGACCCAGTCAAAATCGGTGACCTAGTTAGGTTATGAAAATCGGCGGGTTATACATTTTTATAAATAAAAAAAAAAAACAAAAAAAATTCAAAGTTGTCTCATCTTGTCTGAAAAAAGTGTGGAACTCTTTTCAAAACTTTTGTAGTTTTGTTTGCTAGTAGTATAATCTTCTACAGTGACATCAAATTTCAACTTCTAGGATTGAAGCAATTTGTGGAAATAAAGAGAATGTGACATATTAATTCCTTCAAATCCATTTTTGTGGTAAGAGTTGTTGGTAAATGCCTTATAATTATTAAACATGGTTAGTTGAGGATACTTGGTAGATGAATTATTTATGGTTACCTGATACTTGAATTTTCTTTTTTCTTTGTTTATTTCTTTTACAGTATATTGTATATGGTTATCATATATGACTTTCTTTTAACCCTACAAAAATCATATATACTTGCAGCCAAGAATAACAATTTTTTTACATATATTTGGATATTTTATGAATTTTTATGTATAAAATATAAGATTTTATATCCAATGACCTAATACCTCGGCCGGATCAATAACCGAGTCGGTTATAATAACATTCCTGCAAGTAATTTGCGTTTAAATTACTTTTATCCAATAATGCATAATAATGAGTTAATAGTTCTAAGCCAAATTAATTACGGTATGCAAATAAAAATAAGTATATATTTTTGAGGTTTAGGTATTAAAAGAAGTGAAATCTAAAAAGATAAAATTTCTAGAATAACAATATTACATTTGATATGTTATCTTCCTTTTAAATTACTTTAGTGTTTTTTCAGTGATTAAATTATTATAAATTATAAATTATAAATTATACGGAGTTATAAGAACTTTTTAAGTATTAATTAATTTTTTATTTTTAAAACTAAAATAAATTTATAGGTCTATTAGTATTATATAAAATTTAGTCAAAAAAATTCATATTTCTTGCACCATAAATATTAATGATACGTTGCTGACTCAATTAATGTGGACTCAGGTTATTTAGAGGAGTTTGCATACGATTTCACCCAACAAAAAGATATTAAAATTATACAGCTGTACGTTAATTATTTCTCATTTTTTTAATTTAATAATTGTTGATATATAAAATATCTTCTTACTTCTTATAGATGATTCTTTAAATCTTCCATAACCCACTCATTAAATTGAACGTGGACACATGCATGTGAGGGGAGAAATAAATAAGAAAAGAGACACCTAACTACTTCCTTCTTAAATAATTTGTGGGTCTCATGTAGATTTAAGATAAAATAATATTTGGAGACACATAAAATAGCTGGGATTTAGTGAGAAAAAGAAAAGAGAATTCACTCACTTACTAAATTTATCGGAGATAACTTTATATTACGCAGTAGAAACAGTGATTGTAAGTTTCAACAGTAGATATACATCAAATATATATAATTAATTTGTCCCTTTTTTTTTTTTTAATAACGTTCTCACTCATTTGGAGGAGATTAATTCTCTTCTTGAGATAGAGTGCAAAGGTTTTTGTTATGGGCCCCCAAGTAGCTTCGCCAAGAATTCAAACCAAAAATCTTTCAACACCAACAATCCACTTCTTGAATACAACTCGCTTATCAATTGTGTCATCAATTGAGCTTAATTTGTTATCTTTTTATATCCTCTCCTGTATATTTAGAAAATTCAAATATTTAGCAGTTAAGAAAATGGAAAATTTTCCACACACACAAAAAAAAAAATGGTTATCTTTTCTACAAATTCATCAGAACTCGAGGTTATAAAGTAAGAAGTCCTAATGGGTGGACCACCTATGTTTTAAACTTTGTAGGGAACATCTCCTTTAACATCTCATTGTACTTTTAAATTTCAGTATCAATTTAAAGTTACTTCATCCGCTAAATCATGCCTACCACCTCATTTTAGTTTGGCTTAAATCTAAATCCTCCGTTGAAATATTATAAATAGGTTGAACCCGCAGAAGTACATTAATTGGCCACATAATTAGCAACTTGAACCAAAATCTACAGAGCCTAAAATAAACTGCCATCGGTATTAAAAAATAAAAAAAAATAAAAAAAAATAAACTGCCACCACATTATTCAATTCCTTCCAGAGATTTCGGCAAGTCTGCATCTTAAAAGTTGTTGCTACCCGATAAACTCAAGAGAAAGGGTACTGAATCGTGTTATTTAAATTTAATGAATTCAAATCCTTGTTAATTTTTTAGTAATAATTTTGATTAATAAAGAAAATAGCAATGAGATAACACAAGTAATTAAATGGAAAAAACTCCAACTGGAGAGAAAAATCCACGACCCTAATCGGGATATCTCTATCCAATTGAGAAACAAATCCACTATAGTGAGTCACGCTCAATTCAAAGTATAAGAATATATGCTTTCAAAAAAAAAAAAAAAAAAAAAGAGTACAAGAATAGAACATATTCTATCTTTATACATAAATTCACCCAAACCTACCTCTAGATTTAGGTACTCCAATTCACCCTTATAAATTGCATCTCAATTGTCAAACCCCTGACAATTGCCAAACACTCTTTTAATTTAATTCTAAGCCAAAAGAATGAAACCTCAATTATCACTAGATAATTGTCCCCCTATTGCCTACTTCGTCAATAGCTAAAAGAAAAAAAATTAAGAGTTATCTTACACGCTTCTAACAATATGCAAATAGATACCAATTAAGAGTTATCTTACACGCTTCTAACAATATGCAAATAGATACAAATCAAACCTAAGTGGTGGACTCAATAAATTTGTTCATGCCTTGGTCACCAAATAATTTTGAATGTGCCTTAAGAGGAAATACTTACAATATGTGCAGTGCGTTCTTTTTCTTGAATGCTCACCACACCCTCAACAAGGATTCAAGGTATGATATTTATAGACTTTCTCTCAAAATCAATTGCTAAGGAAAAATCACTAAATTTTTGCACTAAATCTATTTTTCAAGATTATAATGACTTTTAAGAAAATCTTCCAAGATTTTTTTTTAAAAAATAGAATCAAAATTTTCAAATTAATTTTCCGAAATCAATAAATCATTCAAAAAAGGAATTTAATCTCAAATTAACTTTTTCTTTTTTAAATGAAAAACCAAATCTCAAAATCTATTTATATTAAAAATAAATCTTTTCTATCTTACTTCCTCAATTTTTAAATCTTTAAGATAATATATCACAAGACATTATCACGATTCACCTCGTCCAACCATTACATGAAATCTAAAATGTCATCTTTTATAATGTTGATCTTCACGATTTCGTATCGATTGTGTTGCATTCACTTTTTCATAATTTATCACAAATTAAGTTTTGCAACAATCTTTAAAAAATTAAATAAACTGTTAGATAATTTGGTTTCACTTATTTATTATCATCAAAACTAGACAAGATGTGAAATCCAACAAAAGTCGTTGTCATGCTTCCCATTCAAAGTGGGAAACTTGTAAGAAACCAATGTTATCCCCATTATTGTTTGGCCTTGGTCCTCCAGGCCTAATGGTGTTAATATATTAGCATATATTTTATTTTATACTTTTTTCATATAGCATAAGTACTAACTCTATTTCAAATGTTTGTTTTCTTTATATATAAATCTATACGTACCTACATATAATAAATGTGGTAGTTGCAGCATAATTTGGTAACCAGCTTATGCTTATCTGTACACGGTGATGCTCCATTGCTTCACCCTTTTTCTGGTGGTAGTTGTTCCATGCAATGCAAGTTACTGTTTCTTTGGGTCCTCTCTCCATGTGATATATTCATATTGAGTTAACAGTTTTGAAAGTTTAGTTGTTTGACAAAATTGCCACTCATGTGAAATGGAGACACTTTGAGATGTAAGCAAGCATATTCTCTTAAATTTCCTCATCAGAAACATTACTTCCTCTTGTTCTGAACCATCTCTGGTATATATAGCACATATTTGAGGGCAAGCCTTGTGACCGGAGAAAGGTCACGGGTTTGAGTTTAATACAGGGTAAAATTGCATACAATCGACTCTCACTTCTATACTCGCAATTCAATATAGTGGGTGCTTATATAATAATGCAATTGCTGAAACTTCATTTGAAAACACAGATTTTGCAGTAGGCATATACTTGTATGGTATAGAGAAATGGAAGACTACATTACAAAGACAATTATTATTGGAGTTATTTCATGGACAACAACTTTTCTCTTAGCAAGGAGAACCTTTCCCAAACGCTCTTTTGATTTTTGTAACCGTGTTGTCTCTACAATCCACGCAACTTTAGCAGTAACATTGGCTACGCTTTCTGTTGAAGATTGGAAGTGTCCAATTTGTCCTTTGGCTGCAAAGTCTTCCCATAGACAGGTACTAGATTTACTGCATGCACTTTCTATTGGTATAAATTGTGATGTTTTAATTAATTATTTAGATTTGGCATTAAAAGTGGAATGTTTGAACTCTGAGCAGATGCAAGTTCTTGCAGTGAGCCTTTCTTATCTCATTTATGATTTAGTATGTTGTTTCTTTGGTGAAAGAGTTAATCTGGACAACATCATCCACCATTTTGTAAGCATTGTTGGACTTGGAGCAGGTCTTTGCTATCAAAAGGTAATTATTAATCACCCAAATTAAATTATTTCTTACTCTCAGATTGATTATTTAGATTCTAGCAGTCTTTTTCTTCTTCAGCAACAGGATTGGGTATATATAATTTGTTGATATATATAAAATCATTAATATAGCTTCCGTGTACCGGGTTGAATTACCCGGTTCGATCCTCACCGTCCATTATTTTCTTTCTAGTAGAATTTCTTTCTTCGTATAGTTAGGTGGACATGTGCATTAATTGTCCGCCCTTCAAGGCAGTGAACTCTCGTGTGAAGGGATGTGTTGAGATATATAAAATCATTAATATATAAAACCATGAACTAGATTGAGCTGATTCTTTACATAATTATTGATTCTTTACATAATTATTGAAAGTAAGGAAATTAAGGATCTTTTAACGTGACATGAATTCAAGAAAAATATGAGTCCAACTCAAAAGTCTGTACAACTTTTGACCCATTTCATGTGAAAATGAAATTTTTTTACTGTATTGATTCAAAACATAAATATTTTATCAATATAATATTATGAGGTGTGCGGTTTACGCATGAGCAAATGTATGTCGATTACATGGTGTGTGTTGTAAATCGCTCATCACCTCATATTCACCCATGCGTAAATTGTAGCTCCTATCATGTGACAGACGCATCTTCACCAATATATAAATTGCGTATCTCTCCATATGGGACTCGCGAGAAATAATTTCTCTTTTTACATCATTATTGTCAAAAGGCTGAATTGCTCTCTAAAATTCATGTATCGATAGGTTAAAATATTTGGTTATGTCAAGATTGCCAGAAAATTTTTGGAGTAGCTCTTTCTTAACTTTCCCATTTTTATTTTTATTTTTATTTTGAAATTTCTTCTTGGAATTATTACTCTATTTTAGGTGGTCTTCTATGGGAATGTCATGATAACTTGGTACCATATATATGTGTGCAGTGTGGGTCAGAGATGGTAGGGGCAATATGGGTAACAGAGATGTCAAGCCCATTCTTGCATATGAGAGAGCTTCTAAAGGAGCTTGGTTACAGGGATACCCTCCTTAATTTGACTGCGGATGTAAGTCTTAAGCCCTACCAAATCTTTCATTTCTGCTTTAACTTGCAAGAATCCTGTACACAACTCTGGAGAGAAAAATATTTTAAAAAACTTAAAATCATAAAAATTATGAATATGTCTTAGGATAAAACTAATATCTATGATGCACGGATACGGACACGGGACACGACACGACACGCCGATACGTTAATTCTAAAAAATGTTATATTTTGACACGTTAGGACACGTTTGATATTAAATAAAAATTTTAATATATATAATATAATTTATATTTAATACACATAAGAGTCCATAATAAGTCATATAACCAATCAAATATTTAAATTTCATAACGTAAATATAAATATAAATAATTTTTCGTATTTTGTTAATTTGTCATGTCAAATTTCATAACAGAAAAAAATTAATTTATAAATTTTTTATTTATATTTAGTTAACAAAAAAAAAAAACGTGTCCGAGCGTGTCCTAGCATTGACCGCGTGTTGAAAAAACGTGTCGGAGAGTTAACCGTATGTCCCCAAATGTTGACTGCTAGCATTGACACGCAAATTTTTGCAAGTGGTGTGTCCGTGCTTTGCTGACTGCGTGTTGAAAAAAGTTACCCTATGTCTTAATATCAAAACTCTTACTTGAAATGGCTAAATACGAGACTTGACTTTTTTTAAAAAAAATCCAATTAATCGTCTCAGTAGTTTATAGATTGACAAAATTATTATTTTTAGAGAAAAGTTATACTTACAATCTATTTTTGTTTATAACATCTTACAACCACATCTTAACCTTTGATTTTCATCAATCTAATGGTCATAATTTATTGGATCATATTTATTAATTAATTATTAATTTCTAATAAATTATAAATACCATATTGACCAAAATCAATAATTAAGATGTGATTGTAAAAGATTGTAAATGAAAATATATTATAAGTATATCATTTCTCTTATTTTTTATATAAAAACAAAGGGAAAAAAAGGAATTGGTATGTTTTAACTATTATTATATTATCTATATAATAAGCGTACAATGTTTATTCTACTATTTTGTTGACATTTAGTATCTTGCATAATAGAGTACATTGTTATATGAATTAAATATCTACGAGTTATGTAGTAAACATTATGAAATAGTATTTTTACAAAATTAAACATAAATGTCTAATGCTGCTAAGTCTAGCTAAATAAGTGCATACACTTATCTATACGTCTAAGATGCCATACTAAATATGATAAGAAACTAGTTTTAATGCATTGTAAGGGTATAAATATTGTATATTTATATCCAATGACGTGTTATTATATTATTAATAGAGTCTAGCATCTTATATAAATTGTTAATATAATCAAACTCGTTAAATAACATATCAACCAGTATTGCTAAACCCGATTCAATCCGAAAACTGATAGAGTTGGTGACTTAAACCGGTTCGAGTTAGCCAACAAATCAGTCATGCAACAAATCCAGTGAAAACCAGTGGCCCGATTGATTTTTATTAACTCAGGTAATGCATTTTTTTTTAAAAAAAAATTGAAACGAAATAGTTTCATTTTTTAAGCAAGGACCAAATGCAAAAATCTTTAAGTTGCAGTGCATTATTTTCAATTCACAAATACACATACCGATCACACAAAAAACAAAACACGATTAAACATTTCAAGTTAAGAAAAATGAAAATGAAATGAAAAGTGAAAAATCGTATGTCAGTTGGATTGAAATTTGAAAGGATAGAAAACAAGAAGAAGAGCTAATTTGAAATTTGAAAAATGATATTAATTTTATTTTTTATAATGACCCTATGATAATCCTTTTTTCTGTGATTAGGGAGGGCCTAAACCTAAAAAAAATAAATTACAAAGATACAAGAGCTTTATAGTTATGAAAAATAAATAATTCTCCATCCAGTATACTAATCATTTGAAGAGGAGGTTGGTTGAAGATGATAATATCTTCATCCATGCTAAGGTCTTGTTTCGCAAACCAATCCTTGCATTTGTTGCCATACAAAATTTTGAATTATTCTGTATAGACATAGTTGTGAATCTTGCTAGACAACGTAGAAGTTATTATAAAAGTATTTTGAGTATAAAATATAAATTTATATACACCTATTGGGGTCATGTGATTCAATCAGTGACCTATTGGTTGAACTAGTGACCCGACTGATACCCTGGTCGAGTTGATGACCGATTTGGATTTAATAACATTGGCATCAACACAAAATTGAGAAATTGTATAAAAAATTTATACTAACTATGCTTTAAAATCAAACTCATGAAAATCCGAAATACTAAAATACTTTATAACATCTCATACACATGCATTCAAATATTAAGGGGATAAGGTATATCAATTATAATAAATTATATTTTTAGTGCATGTGACTTATTATGTATAAACTATAGCCAGAATATATTACATTTTGAGAGGGAAAATGTACTTGAATAACTACATCACTCTCTGGATACCAAAAAAAAAAAAACTAAATCACTCTCTATCATTTTCAAATATGGATCTTACGGTTTTATGTTTATTATCACGTCTCAGTGTATTGTGTGTGGGTATTTTTAAATTTACGTAAATTTTATAATATATATATAAATTAAAATTATAAAGAAGATATACAATTAATTTTAAAAAGAGAATTTAAAAATAACATGTGTCGCTCTAAAGAAACCTTGTCCAATGGATAACTGAAGGGAATAATGGGCTGTTTAATAATTAAAACATGTTTGTTTAACAACCCCCAACAACCCCGGCCCAAAGTCATGTAAAATCAATGTTATTTGAATTAGGTTTTGTGTTTTAAATAACTGGGGACTAATAATTAAAATCAAATAAATTAAAGTGAAATGTGTTAAGATTTTCTAATTAAACATGTATTATATCAAAATGAGCCAACAGTTGTTGAGTTTGACGCAATGGCGCAGATTCTATTTGCTGCCATATTTATATTTGCTAGGATGTTGGTCGGACCGTGCATCACTTACCTAACTTTATCCGCTAACAATCCACTTCTCATAAAGGTACAATTTTCTACCCTTTTTTTAATTTTTAGAGAAGCATTTTTCTATAATATAATCTTCCCTTGTTTTTTTGGGTCACATTTGCTTAATTCATTCCATTGTTACAGGCTATGGGATTAGGTTTGCAGCTGGTAAGTACATTTTGGTTCTTCAAAATTTTAAGAATGATGAAACACAAACTAACCAAGAGACCAACATCTGAAAATGGCACCAAGCATACCAACATCATGATGAAAACGACTAATTCACAATTTCAAGATAGCTAGCGATAAATGTCTTGAGAGTTGAACACCCTGCTCCTTACCCATGAACAACGAGAGACACTAGACAAATGGACACTACTTCTAAGTGGCGCAATTCATTATTTCAATTTGCCTGTGTAAAGTGTGAACAATGTATTGTAATTCTGCAGCTGTTTGACAGTTGAATTTGATTGGCTTGTGCACCTGGGAGACATCAATTTCGTACATTATTTTTACACTATTTTCATTTGACAAAATTGGTTAGACTTTGTTGCTAGTTGTGATTAATTGTGTTACGCAGTAGCATCATCACGGGTAAATTGTCATTGCTTAGTTAAATATCAAATCAAACTAGTAGATGAAGAATATTATGCAAACTGACTCAACACTGTCTTCAACCATAAATGGGGGAGACGTACAAAGTCTAGACCCAATTCAAAGATAAGTAATATAAATTATGTAAAACATAATCCAAAAGGAAACAAAAAACCGTCATAATTGGGTTTAGAAAAACAACTCGACTAAACATCTTTGCTTCACCGTAGTTTGGTTGATAAGTTCTCCATCCAACTGCATAATTCAGATATTACAAGGCATAGCCCAAAGGGACCATTGCATTCTTAGGTCTGAGTTGATCAAATAGTATAAATTGTTTCTGAATCTAAAAGATGCACTGCCTCGATATCCATGGCTCTGGAAAATTTTCACAATAGCTTTTAGTCTTTCCCAAAATCAGCACTGTAGTGAGCACTGGATTCAAGTTTCTTTGCCTCGTTCAGTTTTCGAACAGCCTGGAACGGATAAAGAAATCAAATTGTTGTTCCCGTGAGTGACAAGGAGGGGTAATCCCTTTGTGCATGATTAATACACACAGAAAAATGGCTTCCTCAAAGAAAGAAAGAACTCACCTTCATAAAATCTTCATGGATCACGTAGTCACGTTCTGCACGAATTGCTGCCATTCCAGCTTCCGTGCAGACATTTCGAAGATCAGCCCCATTAAAACCCTGAACAATTTGCAACAGAAAACACATCAAACATGCACCAACCGGCTAATAAAACTAATCCAAAATGGACTTACCTCAGCAAGCTTCACAACAGCTTCGTAATCTATTTCACCATGTTTAGCAATCCCAGCAGCATGAATCTTAAGAATTTCCATCCTTGATTGTTCATTTGGCAATGGAATTTCTATTTTTCTATCCAATCTTCCAGGACGCAGGAGAGCGGGGTCCAGTACGTCAGGTCGGTTTGTTGCCATGATCATTTTAACCTACAATATCCATGCAGACAGCAATGTTGTTATCAACCCACCATTAGAATTTGCTTGAACAATCATTTTAAAGAGAATCAATCACCAAATGCAGAACACACATTAACCAGAGAAGGTTGATATGCTATACATTTCATTTGAATTATAACTCACATAAATGAAAGAAGTCCGTACCAAATATGTTGTACCTTAAATGTATACATAAAGCTGATAAAGAGAAATTCCCTCAAATTTCAGATCAACTTTACAACTTCATTATTTTTGAACGGAAAAAGGCCATGGAATAGTAGCTCAATCTTTTGCTTGATAAATGGTTAGTGCAGAATCCATTTGTAAACATTACCATTCATGTATGTTTGTAATTGCATTTTGGAAGTTAAATACATCAACAAAAATTACAAACCTTGACACTGAAAAATAATAATAGACCACCTGAAAATTAAGATACCTGAAATGCATTTATTCTACAGGCTTACCACAGGTCCACATCCACTACCTCCGCGCAAAAAAGAAAACAAAAGTAGGATAAAGTTCCTTCGAATTTGCTGGGAAAGGGAGGGAGTGTTTCTAAAACCAGAGCGTGATTATGGTTTTCAAATAAAAATAAATGGGGCTACGGAGCAAGATATACCTTCCCAAGTTGATCAAATCCATCAAGTTGATTAAGCAACTCCATAAGTGTTCTCTGAATCTCACGATCAGCACTTGTTCCCTCACTGAAACGACGACCACCAATGGCATCGATCTCATCCATAAAAATGATGCAGGGCTTAACAAACAAAGTGGAGACTCAGAACTACAATCCATTTGAATATATAAACATATAGGAAGAAACTTCCCAAGAGAATCTACCTGGTGATCACGTGCATACCCAAACATTTCACGTATCAACCTGGCACTTTCCCCAATGTACTTATCAATTATTGCACTTGAAACAACCTACATCAGAATTTGGGTTAAGGTATAATATATTTTACATTAAAGGAAACTTCAAAACAAAAAGGATTTCGAAAAGAATTAAATCTGACCTTCAAGAAGTTAGCATCTATATTACTGGCAATTGCCCTAGCTAACAATGTTTTGCCAGTACCAGGAGGCCCGTAAAGGAGAACACCCTGCAAGATGAGAATTTAGAATATGCTGATGAGATACAAAGTTATGAATCACAGCTCCTCAAGATACTCTCCCACCAAAAGAAATTGTAGACATTTAAGTGACAATGATAACACTAACAGAGGTCATGGACTAAATAGTGCAATGAAAAAGCAATAACCTTAGGTGGTTTAATTCCAACTCGAATAAAGAGTTCAGGATTCATCAGAGGTAATTCAATTGATTCCCTCAATTCCCTTATCTGATCAGATAAACCACCAACAGCGGAGTAACTGATGTTACCAGGATCCTCATGCAGCATATTGTAAACTACTGGATCAACCTGTCAACTCATAATAGACCATAGTAACCATCAGGCACGAAAAATATCAGACGATTTTCAGAAAGAAACCAAATTAGATAGCCCAACAAGAGCCTGAACATCATATGAATCAAATAAATATCTGAAAAGAATACACCATGAAAACATACTTCACGTGGAAGAGCTCGCATTATGGTGAGTGTTGTCATATCAAGAACCACTCTTGTACCAGAAGTCAGTTTTTCCTTATCTACTTTACTGCGGCAGCCAACCACATACCTAGGTCCGCTGCTTGCTTTGACAATCACTGAGATAACAAAAACAAAAGCATACAATAACAATTGATCTAATCTTATGTTCACATTAACCAAGCAAGGAAACAGATAAGATAGTTAATTGGGTAGCTAGGAAATCTAATTAAATTATAATAACAGAATTCCAGAATCAGTGTGGCACAGATTTTTCAAATTCAAAACAAAACATAAATCTTGTTTCTGTCATAATAAAGTAAACCAAAGTTAATGTACATATCTCCATAATTATGAGGTTGAATAGCAAGATATCATTCAAAATATGAAACGAAAAGGATAGAATCATTACAGCGTTCATTGTCAAGAGGCCTCAGTACTTCGCCAATGATCTGGCCAACACTTTGAAGAGACTTCAAATCATCTTCTGTTTTATTGAACTCTTTCTTCGAAGCTCGCAAATTCTCTCTCACTGCAATTCGCGTTATAAAACCCAAACTCATTCAAAACCATAACAAAAACCCTAATCAATCCGAATAATCGAACAAAACTTCGACAAGTAGTGAAATTGAAATCAAGAAGCGAATTCTTGGGGTTATTAGTATTACAATGCATGAAAATATTAAGCAGAAATTGAGATTAAGAGACGAACCAGATCGTACTCTGGATTCCAATTCCTTGTGTTGAAGAAGTTTCTTCCGATACTCCGTCACCGCAGTACGGCGTCGTACGGCATCTTCAGAATCTGTCATTGTTATTAGTTTTGCGCTCGTAAATCCAAAAAAGGAACGGTGAGATTGCACTCTGAATCTGCAGATACTAGGAGTGCGACGATGGACTTATGTTGTTTGTATTCGTTGAGGTTAAGGTATTATATAGCCAGAATAAGGAAACATAAAAATATTATATTTTAAGGTAATAAGATAAGGTATTATCCCATACAAAACACAAAGAAATAATTCATATTTCTATTAAATAGGGGATTATAAAATAAGAGAAACAAATCATACTTATTAATTTGGGTATATTAAGATTTTTATATATATAATTAATGCTAATTTTAATTGATATTAATTATGGATAAATATTATTTTTAATTTAAATAAATGTTAATAAATATCAAACATAATCTCTCCCTAGATTCTCATTATTGAAATTTTATTATATGCATGTGTTTTGGACAAGAATTTTTTATTTTTGCCAATACTACTCCTCAAATTGAATTATAGATGTTCATTATGTCTAACTTCTGGTTAATTACTGCATGAAAGTTTCCTAATTTTTTTCTATTATGAAAAATCAAAGTCCATCAGATATCCAATTCGGTTTGATTCAATTTGGATATACGGTTCAGTTTGGTGGGATTCAAATATACAGTCTAGTTCGATTGAAATATGTTTTCGATTTGAGTTTGTCATTGCAAAGCTTATGAACTCCAAGATGCAATTTAGCTTCTCTCTTTTGCCATCCAGCTTCATTATTGCGCCAATCACCACTCTTTCTTTGAAGGGTAGCATATTTAGCCTCAAGTGACCGAATTATCTACTGAGACTTGTCATTGACGACAACTACTTGGGGAGCATAGAATTTCCTTACATCTTTCAACGAACATTTTTATTATGGAGCGTTTGCTATATGAGAAAAAAAAAATTGATCATGGAAATATAGGAGTAGGTTATATTTACAAACTCTTACAAATTACATTATGTTCTCCCGGAAGAACATAGTGTAATTTGTAAAAAAATTCAAAAAAAGTTTGTAAACGGATCCTTTCCCGAAAATATAATTATTGGAGAAATTGTGGGAAAGTAAGTTTGCTGGGTGAAGTTGAAAAAAAATTGTTTGATAGGACAAAATATTACTATGAAAATTGATTAAAATTTTCTAAGTCTATATTTGGTTGAAGATAAAATAATGATGGCAAAATGGTATAAAATTACTAAAGTAACCCCTTATTAAGTGGAACTTTGGCGTTACTTTATCTGTTCATGAGGGTATTAGAGTCTGGTCCTTCTTTCACTTTACTCCATTTACCCGGTTATATTAGAATACCACATCAAGATTGGCATTATTGCCCGTTGTTTCTCGTTCGTTTTTGCACACAAAAGTGAAAGGATGGGCAAATCATTTTGCTGCCATATTTTTTAAATAACTTGTATGAAATGTGGTCAAGCTAAAATGCTATGGTCTGATGCCTGGGTATTTCATCAAAAAACTTGAACCAAACGTCGCCTAAGGTGATGTTTGTCGTTATTGGACCAAACACTTTGTTATTGCAAGATAAAAATCAAATTAATAACTCCCAATGTTATTTTATAATCGTTGATTTAATTTTAATTTAACAACTCTAAAAGTAGTTGTAAGAGTTTATAAAATGATTTGATTTTGATCCAATAATAGTAAAATAGTTGTAAGATATTGTAAGGTAAAAGAAATTATAAGTATAAAATGAGTCAATTATGAGTGATGATAAGAAGATAAATCAGAGTGACAAAGAGCTCAAAGATTATTAATACTAAAAATAATTAATATTAATCAACTAAAAGTCAACTGACTTATTATTTTTTAAAGCTTCTTAATTTTTTTCACATTTATGTAAGTATGATTAATTGTTAATTATGTGTTCTCTTTTCTAAAAGTACACATCATCATTTAATGTGGTACCATTTTTTTCTTTTGGATAGATAATGTAGTAGCAATTTGAATAATAAGATATAGGGTTTTATTAATGTTATGTTACATAACTTAAGTTTTGTTTCCAACACACACAGCAAAAGAGAGAGAAAGTGGAATGATGAAAGAGAAAGAAAAATATGTGGACCCTACATTTTTAATGTGTATGTGTAGAAAAGTGAAGTTGTATTATGTTACATGATAAACATAAAATATATAGTTATGTAAGATAAATATTTAGGCCTACCACCACTAAGGCGCTTTTTTTTGGGGGAGGAGGGGTGGAATAATAGTTACAATTACCTACATAGGGAGGGATAAACGTATGATGGTGAAATATTGAACTTCCAACATAAACTATAAATTGTTAAAAAATATTTGAAATAGTGATAATTGAACTACAAGTTTATATGTATTGGAAATTAAAGTGTGAGGGTAAAATCTCACATTAGGAAGAAATAAACTAAATGATAATCATATAAATGAAAGTATCCATGCATTTAATGCTTTTAAGTTGAAACATGTTTTAAACCCATTTATTATGGTAAATTGCTGGTTTGTCACTTACCTGTATCCGATAAAAATAAACTATGCCAGGATTGTGAAATGCTTTAAATCTTGCTTTCTTTGTAAACTAACGTTGCAAGTTGCTTAACTACTCATTTGGGGTAAACATTTTAGTTACAGAGACTTTCATTTTACTATAATCCCAAATCATTTGTTAATTATGAGCATGGAGAAGTATCATTGAAGGGCAAAGTATCTTGGTTTACGCGTCTGAAGATTTCACTTGCATCTACTGGAGGCAATATATTTTACAACACGGACAGCAAGATGAAAAATTTTACCTATCTAACGGAAAAGGGTGTCAGTTTTGTATTTGCATGCTACAAACCAATCAAAAGAAGAAAAAAAATCCTACTGCCCATCAAGACACAAAGCGTCCAAAGTGAGGAAAGTAATCATATAAAAACTCTATACATCGACCAATTTCCCACAAAATATGGTATATAAGACATGAGATAAACTCAGTGACTCACTCTCACCGAGCCATTCTCTTTTCCCCTGTAGAATTAATTTACAGTTAAAAACAGTGAAGTACCTAAGCTGGTTAATTTAATTGTGGCTAATGGCTACCCTTCCGTAACACTTCCTTCAGAACCAATGCGATTCTATGTGCCATATGGGGCTCCAGAAACCTCTCCTTTACTCTCTCGTATCCTTTCTTTCCCATAGTCAGCCTCCTCTCAACATGAGTTGCCAAATTCACAATGTTATTTGCAAGAGGTGTCACACCTTCTTTTCCAACAGGATGCAGTAAACCGGTTGTCCTATTTACCACAATCTCCATAGTGCCCCCAGCTGCAGTTCCCTATGATTATTGTTAATCATTAAACATGTTAGAAGAAAACACATGATATACATGCATAAAATGTCTTGTAGGGCTTGCGTAAGCATTTGGAAACAAAAACCCATAAAAATATAGAAGAAAACAAATATTAACAAGGCAACTTCTACTTACAAGTACAGGCAAGCGAAATGCCATTGCTTCAATGGTTATCCTCCCAAAACATTCTCCCCGTGCCTGATATGAAGAGAAGCTGATTTAGAAATAACTTGGTAAACAATTTCATGGAGCTCATGAAAAAAAAAAATCCAAAATCCTCGATGGCACTAATTGTTAGTTTCTAGAAGGCTACGAGGCATTAAACTTTAAACAGGACTTAAAAACACAATTATTGAACTACGCAATCTATCTTCAGGTCCCTCGCTGAGTTTGCATTTGTACTTTATGGAAGCTAGAAAAAAAAATCAATTTACAATTAAGAGTCTTGTTATCAGCAGAAAGGTCCGCAATCCAGGCAGCAACTCCCATTTTGCAAAACAATAGAATGTAAAATATATTCTGTTTCATTCTCTACTCAGCAGGGTATATTATCAGATGATACCTGAGAATTCTGAACAAGAACATCAATAGAAGCCAGGTAAGGAGCCACTGCCAGGGTTTTGTTAACAAAGTGAACACGGTCCTGGATTTTTTTCTCTCCGACAAATTTACGCAATTCCAATTCAAACTTTGTTTGAGCATTCATATCACTCCCAACAACTACAGCATGCAAAGATGGCAGCTGCAGTTTCTTCTCCTTGATTAGTACCAAACTTTCATGAAAGGACCGAAGAAATAGATCCTGCCCTTTACCGCGTGAAACACCTGCAATTATATCATCCCTGGTGCTCAAAATATTGACTGGTAAAAAGGATTGTCAAATGAATGCAAGGGGTATATACAGAGGGGAGGATTAAATTTGCATGCACTACAACCGTTTATATTTATTTTGTAACGTATTACATAAAGAAAGAAGTGGTAACTAGTTGAATCATCACAAACTCCTTTCTTGCCCCCTCCCTATCGCTAACCCTTCCCCCTCTCACTTCATATCCATGCACAGAAAGGAAAATAATTTTATGATTTTGATTAGCTATCTTGATCTCCAGATTGTAATGAGAAAAACTATATTTGACATACAGATAAAATGGATAAAGTTATTCCAGAACAAATACTGCTAAAGGAAAATAATAAATGTTAGAACCAAAATTCTGGAAATGAAGCAAATTACTAATTTTAGAACTCTTCCTTTTTTTGTCAATCAATACCTCCCTGTTCCCTTTCTCAACAAAAGCAAATAGATACCAACAGTCAAAAGATAAAGCAATCGGGTAATGAACTTGCTAGCAGAGCATGCATTAGATGGGACAAAAATGAGTCCAATGAACTACATTGGCATATTAAATGAATAGAAGCAGTAAACATCAAGTAAGAGATCATACTATTTATGACGGCAAAAAGTAGATCATCATTTCTCACTCCAAGAGATTGCCGAACATGCTCACGAAGAACCCTCTTCGCTACAATATCTTCAGCAACTTCCATAAGTTCCTTGCTATTTCCAAGATGCACAACGTAAGTTTCTGGCATTTTAATCCTACGAAGTTGGACCAAAACATATACTTAATAAACATGACAGAAAGTTACAGAGAAAAAAGTATAAAATTGCAGGGCATGGTGTAGCCAAGTTTATACATAACAAGTAGCAGAGAGAATGCAGCAAACATTAAACGACAGTGAAAGCATACCCTAAACGCTCCCTAGTCCTATTCTTCCAGTATTCTGCAGTTGTATGTGAATCGATCATGGCACCTGCAACAAAAGGGAGGTGCTTAACATATTCCACTTTGAAATAATGCCCTCGCATTTCATGAATCCACCACAAAACCTTTGGAAGAACCTCCGAAACTTTATCCTTGAGAACGGCATCAAGCCACTTCCCGGCCACAGCAGTATTCAGAATGACCAAATCAGCCTTAAGAGCCGTGTCTACAGCCTTTTCACCTTTGGCAGGCAGCACCTATCAGGAGCCAAACACAACCCCAATCAACAACAACATGGGAGTTGACAAACTCATATAAAAACAAGAACAGAACAAGGATATACTTACCACCTTTTTTTTATTACATCCAACTTTGTGTTATGTTGGATCAGAATCAAATCAATGGTTACCAAATGGTATCGAGTGAGAACCGTTGGTTTGATTTTGATCCAAAGATAACAAAGTTTGTTTTTAGAGGTTGTAAGGAAAAAATTATAGTAAATATAACCTCCCTCTAAAATAATAAATAGATAAATAAATGAAAACAGAGAAAAATTCTTTCCTCCATTCCGTTTTAAGAAAAATTGCATGCTAATCTATTTCCCACACTATTAAGCCTTGTTTTATTACTCCCCTAAGTAAGCTTCGGCAGATCTCTTCGTACGTTTAAGTGAACCTCTCGATTTCAAAAAAGATGTACTCAAACCGTCTCAATTTATATTCTCTTATCTTTCCTTCCACTAGTACTACTCCAACTATTTTGTTAAGTATCTTCATGGTGCACATCACTTCACATTTATTACAGAAGAAACTATGGAAATGTGTCTGTGTACCTAACATTATTCTAAAATGCCAGTATTCAAAATTCTCATAGACAGAATGTGCACATTCACAATATACAAGTATTCACACTTGACAGTTGAACATGCAAATAATCTGAGTTTGAGACAAAGAATCACCTGCACTCCTCTGTCCAACATCTTATTCTCCAAACTATAAACGATCTCGTCTGATTCTGGAGGTTTCTGATTGGTGATCCAAACGACGTCGGAACCGACGCCTCTCAAGAGAAACGCCAACTCCATCAGCAACAGAGGTCCTCCAGAAAGAGAAAGCTCGTGCGAAACCATCAGAACCACCTTTGATTTCATGAATTCCAGAGGACTCCGTTCCGATGATCGAATCTGAGCCTGAGCTGCTCCCAAATGCTGAGACTCACTGCTACTGTTGTTGCATGAATCAGTGGTGGTTCTGATGAAGAGCACGGTGACCGTTGATAGGGACAATAGTGCAACTAACATTAACGGCCACCTCTTCTTCGCCATTGCCATCCACGCATGCGAATGCTTCACCATTGTTCTTCTTCGAACTCTAAATTCAATTCAACTTCGCATTCTAGGGTTCCTGTTTTGGTTCAGCATCTGCTTCCTCTTGCTCTCGCAAGTAATTAATTAATAAATCACAAATTATTCATCTCAGCTTTAGATTCAGATTCAGATAACCTATATAATTTAACTGAATCCCAACAAATGCCACCCTAGTTTATGATTTTATATCATAACAATAAACATTAATCTAATTTAAGCAAATTCAAAACCAAAAATCAATAATAATAATAATAATAATAATAATAATAATAAATTAATTAATTAATTAACGTAGCTTCAGTTTTTTTTTTTTTTTTTTTTTATAACAGCTTCAGTTTTTTAGTTCCTTCCTGATGCCAATAGGTCTTTATTAATAAATTGTTTAATATCATTCATTAATGATATTTATAAAATAATTGTTTAAATTGCCTAAAAAATATTAAATGTCGTTAATTACAAAGTTATTTAATGTTTTTTATTTTTATTTAAAATTTAAATCTTTTTATTTGGTTTTTTAAACACTTGTTAACAATTTATTTTTTTAATTATATACGAGGTCAAGTACCAAAATAAGCAAAGAGAAAATGTAAGACGATGAAAGATCAAACCCTTGATAGCAATCTTCTTTCATTGTTAACAAATTAGTGTCACAACTTATAACTATATAATTCTTGTTGCTATCATATTTATTCTTACGTTCTTGGTTGTTAACTTGTTACTACAATATGATACTCAGGCGTATGCTTTGTATTTCGGATAAATTATAATTCATTTCAAGATATTAATTTCACTTAAAATTGAATATCCTTTTTCATTTTGCATATTAACTAGTAAGGCTTAAAAATTGCGCATTATTCTTTAAAAAAAAAACTTCGCATAATTTCATGGATTAATAAATGATTCAATCATTGAAATATAGTAAATCTAATTCTTAAAAGTGAATTCGACACTTTAACATTGAAGTATAATAAATTATAAATATGTTTTAATTTTTCCATAAATTACTTAAATCTCACTTTTTTTCGTTTTAAAGTGAACATCTTAAGTTATATTCCCTAAAATTAGCATTAGCTGTCTTTGAGTTGTATAAGTCCTTCTAACCTCTTCTTCTTCTACTTTTTTTTTTTTTTGGTAGACACCTTCTAACCTCTTCATTTGGGTAAAAATTGGACGAAAACTTCACAATTTTTTATTTTTTTTTAATTTTATCATTATTGCAGAGAGTATTTACAATCATATCTACTTCTTGTTTTGTCCTATTCTTTAACTCCATCATATTTTCTTGAAAAAAACTATTCTTATGTTACATGTGATAACTTTCTCTCTTACACACCTTTCGATAACTTTGCCATTTTTTATTTTATTTTTCTTTTTTCAGGTGGTGGAGCCCACAAATTTATCTCTATGACATGAGATAACTTATCTCCTTTAACATGAGATTAATAAAATCCTATTTTCTTTCAGCATTTGACGAAAACTTTCAACACTAACTTTATCAAAGTATCATAGAAGCAACATAATTCAAACCCTCATAACTACTAAAGGTTTAATACTCTTAAATTTCTTTCCTTCTTCTCTATTTTTAAAGGGTAGATAAATATATAGTTCCATGTTAACTTGAGAAAAAGAAAAGCACATAACATAACTAAACACTTAATGACTCAAGAGAGAATATAGCTATGCTTCTTAATTAACTCGACGACAATTCTTCCTAACTTCACCACTAAATCCAGTGAGAGGACGAAGGTTCCCCATCTTGATCATGGACATAGCAAATTGCTCAAAGAAGAGGCTCTCATCTTCTGCATATTTTTTGACAAGTTCACGAGTCTCTTTAACATTCCCCATAAGAAGCACTTCATCTGAATTAAGCAGTCCTTTTCCAATAAGTATGAGTTTGAAATAGGTATTATCAAACATTCTTGGGGAGCCAAAGTCCAAGGGAGAAATCTTGTTGTCACCACCTGATCTTGGACACACTGTCTTCAAACCAAAGTAAAAGGATTTTTCTAGATTCCCATCTGGTTGGTTGTTTCCATTTTGGTTGTATAGTCTTTGCTTGAATGTGGTACATCTTGCCACTCCTATGGTATGTGCACCTACATTATGAAAAAAAGTTAAAAAGTGACACATTACTAAGATATACGTGGATGCGTTTGTATTGACTTTTTAAAAAAGTCTTTTTTATCACTTTTTTATTTTAAAAGTAATTTCTATAAAACTTATAGCTATTTAGATTTTTTTTTAAATATTTGATTTTTGAAAAAAAATATTTGGTTTTTGACTTCTGCTTTTTTTAAAAGCTACAATTTTTAGTTTCTGAAAAAAGTAGGTTTTTAGCATTTTTTATGACTTCTGTTTTTTTTAAAAGCAGACATCCAAACAGACTTTTTTGGAAAAGTGCTTTTTTTTCTTAAAAAAAACAACTTTTAAAAAAAAAAGTTCATCCAAACAGGCTCTAAAAGAAAGGCATAAGAAGTTGAAGTTCCATCCACCTGAGAGAGCAACAAGGTCTACTTCATCAAGTCCTTGACGCTTGAAAAATGTTAGGAGGTTTTCAATGGTGGCATTTGGTGGGGGAATGTTTTTGTTTGAGCCATTTAGGCTTGCTGTTTTTGAGTCTCTCCTACCTAATGGTAGCTCCCAGTTGGGTCCTCCACTCTATTATCAACAAGTTTCAAATCAAGCATATATATGTTAAATTACCTATATAAATTCAATATCATGTGAAGTAAATATTATGGGGTTGTCTGAATTTGAGTCAAGTGTGTTTTCTTACAAGAATAGTGGAGCCCCTTGCAGCAAGGGCAACAATGTCTGCACAGGAGACAGTTCGAGGACATGCTACTTCCAACTTAGACTTTATCTCATCAATCACTTCAAAACCTCGAATGGAATTTTTGTTAGGTCCAGAATTTTTTTCACTTACTATTGTTGAGCTATCATCCAACAAAATTGATGCATCACAGCCCTGTCATTAAAAATAAAAGGAAAAGAAATTTTAGATAGTTGACCAATGCATGAAAAAGTGCCTGAAGCAATTCAACAATTACAAACAATCTAAATTAGAAAAATAGCTCAACAAAAACAATTTAATGTGCTCCTTAAATGAATATTTTTCCTCAAAAGGTTTACGGTAAAGAACTTTATTATTATTATTATTAATATTTTCATGTAGGTTTTCCTATCACATATGTAATAATACACCTGAACGAAGCAGTCATGAAAGTGAAGTCTAAGGAGAGAAGCAGCCATTCTCATATCCTTAGCAATGGCCTTTTCCAACACAGACATGACAATGTCATTAGCTTGAGGGCATGAAAACTGATAGAATTGAGGAGAAAGACCAAAAGATATTCCCCCAGTTCCACCATGACCACTCCATCCAAAATGGTAGCCAGGGTGAGCCTGGGAGAGTGTAGCTTTGAGAAAAGCTATTACAAGAACACTGAACTTGATTAAAGACATGGTGACAAGTGACAAAAGAGTTTAATAGCTTGTTTTGGTGATTGTATATGCCCTCTTAGATTGGTTTGTTTGATATATATATATATATATACACTGCTCAAAAGATCAAATCACCCACTCTCTTCACCGAATCACCCAATGTAGGAAGCATGCCTTGACTATTTCAACAATCCACATGTTTTGTTCTTGCACTGCTTCTGATGCAGTGTTTAGTTTTGATAGTGGTTCAGGTATTACCTGCTCCTGGACCAGATCAAAACAGTGCAGAATTCATTTAATTTAATATATTATTATTGCATAAATTAGCCAAATTTGGACTTTTATATCGCTCTATATGTTAAGGACAAATTGACCTTATGTTAACTTGATGAAGACTTATTACAAGTTCCAAAAGTTTCATTATGATTTATGGAGACATAGTACCGTTAAGCTTAGAAGTATAGCAAAGAGTTACCACTTTCAACCCAGAAATGAAAATTGAGTCTTGTGAGTGGCGTATAAATTAAGGGAATGGACAAGTAGCTATCATTGTCACGCGGTTTTGGTGGCAAATAAAGATATGCTAATAGAACCCTCCCAAAATTAGTAAATGAAATCGGATTGGATTCCTTTTTTCTTTGTTTTTTTAGCATTATTAAAGCTGAAGAATCAGAGTCTCTTCACTTGCTGACGCATGGAAATGATCTCAAAAGGTCTTTTTACGTGTTGAAAAACTGAAATATACAGATTGCTGAACTGAGTATTACATACATTTTTTTCCCTTGTGGAACTGCCAATAAACTGCAGAGATTGCTTTCACATGACAATTACATCACTTTCAATTTTAATATATATTTAGTAATTACATTAGGAAAAGCATAACAGAGTTGGTATTTTTTCTGCATTGTTGAAAGAAGTGGCTGTTCTCACTTTACAGTTAGCAATTTTTTTTGCATGACTTGGTCGTAGTATAACAGTAAAAAGCTAGAATGTAATACAGTTATTTGGAAAAATAAATAAAAATGGAAGCAAGTTTTGTGCATAGGGTTCCCTGAAGAAAATTTAACGGATTAAAAGAATAATATACTCAATAAACAAGTCGTAAACAACATCATCATACGTGCCTTTACTTCTTCTTTTTTGGTAAAAAAAAAAATACTTTAAATCAAATTTCAGTTCTTTGTAATTTCATTCTAAGAACATCTAAGAATTTTTCCAAAGTGTCATGTTATCTTATCTTTAAAGAAGAAACTGAGGCATGACAGACATTAATTTTTTTTTTTCTAATTTTGAAATTTGAATATTATAATTAGTTTTAGTATGAAAAAAATGGGAGGTTATAATTACTACCTCTTTTTTTATTACCTCTTACTACTAAATATTAATCGTTGATTTCTGTCAATTTAACGGTTATAATTTATTGAGTCATATTTATTAATTAATTATTAATTTCCAATAAATTATAACCGCTAGATTTGCGAAAATCAACAGTTAAGATTTGATAATAAGAAGTAATAAGAAAAGGTGATAATACTATAACCTCTCCCTGAAAAAAAAAAAAATTATCTCTGTAATCTTAAAATAACATTATTTTGAATTTTTTTAAAAAAAAAGCATTCATATTATAAAGACATGAAATTTCCAACATGCCATGTAAATTATGAGATAACTTTATCTCCCATCACATGATTTTCCTATAATAAATTTTCCAGCTATTTATTGCACATTATCAAAACTTTTCACGTTAATTTCATCCAATTACGATAGTCTCTTTCAAACTACGGTCAGGGTCAGAATTTTATTATTTTTAATTTGTGTATATTTAAAAATAGAGTTCCCCCATTTTCTTATGAAATTGTTTTCTTTAGTTTCAACGTTATTTTTTAATGTAAACTCCGCCACATTAAACTAAATTTAAATCATTGCACCCCCAACAACAACAAAAAAAGTGCAACAGTTGTCCCACTCACTCACTCACAATGTGTAATTGCTTAGAAGCATTAAAATTTTCTATTTGAATGTAATAATATCTTAGGAATTTTACAGAATACGTTATCTTAATAAATAATAATTGAAAACAAAAAAATGGATATATATAGCAGACTGTAGTTGCAAACACATATTGTATTGCCATCATTCAATAGTCTCCATTTCAAGGGCTTGCAAATATGATTTCAATAATTACATACATATGTACAGCTTTAAATGAGACATGTTATGCTGCAAGTCATTACAATTGCTTCCCTCACCCAAGGCTTCAAATATACATGATGCAAAATTATACTAATCATTTTCTACACTACAGATTGGCAAATATTTAAGAAAGTTAATGTAAAAAATCTGTATATATTTAAGAAAGTTAAGGTCGTGATACACACAGTTGCCTCATGGGTGTAAGCAATCTTGCAAAACGCAGGGGCACATGTGCCTTGATATATGTCCCTTGCTCTGTGTATTCCTATATATGAATTAAAAGTGAAATGTAAGGAAATCCAACAATAACAAATGGGGAAACCTTGACATGATAAACAATGTAATATCCGCCAGTTTACAAGGGAAATGGAAAACCATTTCCAGACATTGATCAACAGGTGGAAATTGGCTAATGGGCAAGGGTGTTTACTTACAGTTTTTTCCACCATTCCAACCTGGTGTATGGTGCTGAGAAGGTCCCCATTTTCAAATGGGACCAAAGCTTCCACCCATACCATGGAGTCCTGTCAAAGAAGAATAGAATTTTGATTAGCAAGGGTGAATAGTTCTAACAAATGGACTGCTTGATATAAAAAAGACAGTAAAAAAAAAAAAAAAAAAGTATATTTCAAATTATATTCAGATTGGCCTCAAGTTTGTACCCTTAGTTTGTCTTGAACTGCATTACAGAATTCTGGTAAGCCATCCCCACTTAAAGCAGATATGCATACAACATCATCTCTTTTCTCAGCTTCTAGCCTGATTTTCTGGGGATCACTAGCCTTATCAACCTGCGAAGTCAGATACACCAGAACGTTCAACCAGTAGTTCATGCTGTAATAAGTTTAACTTCGGGTGCACAGTAAAGCTTGTTGATGAAGGGAAAAATTAATCTCAATCCTCTTTAAAAACCAATAGAGTGATTTACATAAAATGAAATAGAATTACATATCATACTTATGACAGTTTTAAGAGAAGATTTCATTACTGTGAGAAACTGATAATCATGCAAATCTTAAAAGACACAACCAATTTCAAGCCAAAGGCAGTCATTAAATCCAGGAATTGATTTTAAAGCATTCTGGTTACATCCCGCTATCTGATGATGCTAATCTGACTGATAGAATAACATTTTAAGATTAAAGATATATACTGTATCATGAATCAACCATCCTAAAAGCTAAAGGTGTTGGATGAAGGCAAATGAATGGTTTTATAGTTATAATAGTTTCAAAAAAAATTACTCAACCCATCTGCTTTCAATTGTTTCAACTTTCAAGCTAAGTGAGCTCAATTTCATCCCAAATTATATGGTGGTTGGAATAATTTTAAATTTTGATATTGTGTCGAGAAGAGAAATAATTTAGAATTAAGAAGGATTTCATCATGTCTTTTCACTAAATGCATTAGGATTGGTTGAAATGGGAAGTAGTCTTCATATAAGGTTAAAGCAGTTCAGTCCCACTCTTGTCATACCATAATACAGGACCTGACAACAGGCTTGAACCACTCACGTTCCCAACATGCATTATACCTTCCTTGACCAAATGTTGACAATAATTAAAAGCTATCTTGCTCCTAAACGTATCAATCAATAACTTAAATCTAGAATACGCTAAGGTTCTGAATATCAGGTAACCCTAACTGAACTAATCAACAAATTGAAACAACGGCAGAGGTCCAATGCAACATCCTAATCCTAATATCTGTACAAATTAACAAAGAAAAGGAGAAATGGGTTAACTCTGTACACTATTCTCAAAACGGAAAAACCAACAAATCTGTTCTGCAATACCTTGTTCCAGACCATCAATCTTGGAATTGATGAAACATCTAGTTCTGACAGAACTTTGTCCACAGCATTTATCTGTTGCTCAGCCAGGGGGTGACTGCAATTCACAAAAATAATTAATGAGATATGGTGTAGGTCAACATCACTAGTTCTACTAGCTTCCTTTTCTCTAATAATAAAGTTCCTCCTAGCAGTTTTACTGATATATAACCTGATATCAACCACATGCACCAAAAGTGATGACTCTGATATCTCCTCCAGGGTAGCTCTGAAGGCAGCAACCTACAGTAAGCAGTAAAAATGACAGTTTTTGGTGATTATTTCAAAATATGGGCTTAAGTTTTTATATTAAGATGCTAATTTAATAGTAAATCATGTTAAAAATCAATACAAAATATCAACAGCATAATTTTTGTCAGACATTTATAGCAAAATTAATTGTAACAGTTACTTTCTTACTAGTGTAGTAGGTAACTTCTGAATAAAACCAACAGTGTCTGTTAGGAGAAACTCTCTTCCATTCTTCATCTGGATGAAAGCAAATGAAAAAAGCACGCCATGTTAAAATAACTATAATTTAAACTGCTCAAGACTCATTTTCCTGCACAATAACTTTTGGGAAAAAAAAATCATACACGATGAATTTTAGCCATGGTACATAGTAAACATAAGAAATGACAAAATTATGAGGTAAAGGACAATAATAAGCATTTGGACTAGTTCTTTATTAAGCAAAAGAATTGAACATGGTATCCAATGTTAGTAGAATCTCATTACAAATAATAAACAGGCACAATAATTGAAAGCAATCAACAATCTTAAGACAATGAAAAGTTTGTAAATAAAAAATGGGAAATTCTCCAGGTATATTTTAACTTACCTGTACCCTCCTCGTAGTTGGATCTAAAGTTGCAAATAATTTATCCTCAGCAAGAACATCTGCTCCAGTTAATTGATTCAAAAGTGTGCTCTTACCAGCATTTGTGTAACCAACCTATGATGTTGTCACATAAGCATATACCACTATCAATCCGAAACACATACAAAAGAAATAACATTTTATGCCATATATTACCATGACATATTAGATGCAAAGGCAATATCATCATCCTAACAAGAAATGGTGTTGATATAATTGTAAGAAACTAACCAAGGATACCACTGGTACAGGTACTGAGAAACGCCTGTTTCGATACTGCTTTCGGTGTTTCCTAACAGATTCCAGCTCTTTTTTCAGAATACCAATCTATCAAAGCCCAGGCATCCCAATATTTGTTAGCAAAACTAAGATTCCAGAAGTAAAATAGAAATAAAAGTGAACTTTCAGAGAAACAGAGGCATAATGTATGTAACCAGTAGGTTACTAATCAGACATACAATGTGTCTATTCGATAGCATTACACCAGTATTCAGCACTCTGATTTAATCAAATGTAGCTGATTTTCACGGACATTACGATAACTTTGACAAGAGTGTATAAGACTGTTTGCTTACTTGGTTACGCAAAATACGCTTGTCCACTTCTATTTGTTTTTCACCCATTCCCTTCACCTTTCCTCCTGATTGACGCTCAAGATGAGTCCACATTTTTGTTAGACGAGGTAGTTGGTATTCCATTTGTGCTAATGAAACCTAGAAAAAGGAAGACCATAGGATGTCAGAAATGGGATTTGAATTTCTCCTATTTACCAAAGCTGGTTCTGGTAACAACACAAAATAGAAAATAAACATTTCTAATTTGGAGATTTCCACAGTACCTTTTGCTTTTCTGAGGGTACCGGCACCTCTAGCAAAATTAGTGGCTAATATTTAGCAACATATCCCACTTAATTGAAATATAAATACAGTACATTATTTCTCTCCGTAGACTTTTATATTTTACCATCTTACATATTCCCAATCTTGAATATCTTTCGTATATAATGTTAAATTTAAGACCATTCATGATTCTTCAACTAATAGCTTAATATTTTGGGAGAGTTGATTCTAGACATGATTCAAAACATCTATGACCATGTGATTGAAAAATTCAATACCTGTTACCCTCGTTCTTCTACTAGTAGTTAAATTTCAGCATATGCTTGGTTGAGCCTATGCATTTCTCTATGCTTCAATCTCAAAGGATTCGTGCATGAGGGAGCGTGTCAGATTTAAAATCAATCATAATTCTTCACTTAGCACCGTAAGATTTAGAGAAAGTTCGTTCATAACATAATATTTTTTTAAAATATACTTATTTAATTATTAGAGTAAACAATCAAAAAATAATTTTTTTTTATCTTATGATCTTTGGATAGTTAAAATTAAAGATTGGGATTAAGTGATAATGTAAAACATAAAAACCATGGAGAAATCCCCCTTTGTATTTATATTTCAAGGGGATAAATATTGATCACTTATTGATTGGGGTACCGATACCCTAATAAAAAAACAAAGGGTGCCGCTGAAACCTCTTTCTAATTTATAATTGCCTGTAAAGAAGCTTCATGTGTTGCTGCTCGCTGATTAAATATATCAAGGATGAGAGCAGTTCGATCACAAACTCTCACATCTCCACCAAAAGCCTTTTCCAAGTTACGCAATTGCCTAGAATGAGCAAGAGCCAGCAATTTCATGTCAGATTCAGAGCAGCATTCCTTATGCAGCAACTTGACAATAAAAAAATTAATGAATGTTGGTGCAGTTGACTAACATAATCAAGGCAAAGTAAACAAAAAAGAAAAAGAAAAAGAGTGCAATTATAACAATTATTTTGCCAAGCAAAAGCGTGCAGGATGCACTAGTATCAAGAAACCATAAGCTTCAAGATCAAAAGTTACAGTTTTAAGGGTTTAGTTTTGATTTTGGGGAGGGTTAGTGTTTCAAACATCTTACTAGTTCATACTTCATAATCATTTAGGGTTACTAATAGTAAGTAGTTACTCTCGTTAACTTTGTATTTCAAAACCTAGGATAAGTTTTGTATTTTCAAATCTTGGGTTGTAATTGGGCTAGGGTTTATGTTAAGGGACAGAGTTTTATACTTTGATTTAATGTTCAAGTTTCTCTAATGGCTTTTGTAGCAGAAGTCTCAATCCTTAGAAGATCAGGATTCTATAATACGAGTTCTTGTGGGAAATAGGTCAATATAAACCATTGCAATGATTTCTTCTAAGAGATTATCAGATTTAAGAATAATGGCAGCAAAGAGCTCTCTTCTTGGTTGTGTGATGCAATCAAGCCCTCGGTGTAATGCCTAAGGGACTTAGAGTGTCTCATATAGGTTTTTGGATGCAGAAAATCAAGTGTATATAGCAGGATGCACTTCACGGAGTCATAATCTAGGTATTGACTAAGTCAATTGACTTATTATGTGTCTAGGAAAAAGACATCTCATAATTAAGGGTCAATATAGATGATAGTAGTCACGAAGGTTAGTCAAATGTCATTAATAGCACGAAAGCAACACTTGAGGTATGTTTGGGAGTAGAGAGAGGAACAGAGGGAAAAGAATCAAAAGAAAATGAAGGGAAATAGAAAGGAAGATAATGGAGGGCTGAGTATGAGTTTTCTTCCCCTTGTAAGGATTTTTAAAATCCATCAAATGGGTGGAAGTCCAATGTTCATAAGAATTGAATAGCAGAGGGTTTTGAAGAGTTAGATAAGAATACCACATTTTTCTTCACTCGTTTTAAGAAACTCTCAAACAATACCTTCCCCTTCACTCCCTTTTTCTCCATTCTCTTCCATCCAAACATACCCTAAAGAATCCTGTCTATTCTAGAGGTAAAAACAGGTTGGAAAATAAGGGTTATTCTATGTACTTTATAGGAATTATGAGTTGTTTTCTTCTCTGTTTCTCTAATTTCTTACTAGAAAGATGAACATCTTTCCTTCAATTGAAGGCCAGAATTTGGAACCATTCATATTCTGTGCTTATCCAAGTTTTGCTTTATCCTAGTGTCTAGTTTTGTGCCCTTCACATAATCTTTAATTACCGCTTCCATAATACTAGGGTTGTTTGGATTGAATAATTTATTTTCTTCTTTTCAGCTTACTTTTCTGTTTTTTTATTTCTGCACCTATCTCACAGATCAGATTAACTTCACACCATCAAAACCTAGTGCTCCTTGATTGAATTTTCCCTAGAAATCATCAATCCCAAAATCCTAATTTTGCAGGTATTGCTCGCAGGCCCAAATGGCCACCAATTGACCGCTTAACACCTCTCCTACAGCCTGCAAATTGGTATTCCCTACCACATATACATTAAACCCTCAATACCCAATCCTCCAACCCTTAATTCACTAATAAAAAGTCCTAATCTTATCCTATTAAATCTTTGGCCCTTCCAATGTCCTTTGTCAAAAGATAAATAAAACAATGTAGAGAAGAAAAAATTTGGATCTACAAAAGAATAAAGGAAAACAATAAGAAATATAAGGGTTAGTTTAAGCTAGCTGCCTACCTTTTTTCCTAAAAATCAAGAAGGTTCCAAATCATCAGTAGTCACTTATAATAGAAATCAAGTTTTCAAACAGAACCTCCATGGGTCTAAATGGACAGAAAGATTTTAATTCCAATTATCTTCAATCGAAGCCAGAAAGAAATCAAATTTAGTCTAATTTTTACTACCCTTTTATGGTCAGTTCTGAAGATAAAGCACCCTCAGAGTAAATGAAATGGTCAAATGTCAACAAACTAAATGATAGCATGGGCAAAAATTAGCATTAACAGGAAGCACACGTTTGGATGGCTAAATGTGAGACAAAGAAAAAAGGGTCCTTACCCAGCTGACAGCTCATCGTCAAAGATCACAGTTTCAACGTCAAATGCATGAATTGCACTCTTAATCTCAGAAACCTTGCCAGAGCCAATGTAGGTCCTAGGGTTTGGAGAAGCAAGCCTGTACCATTTATAGTAATTCACAAACTGAGTCTACTAACAATATGTTACATCAAAAGAAAAGAAGGAACCAACATATGTATTTATTATTAAAATTTCTCAAAGAGAAGAAAGATATGATTATTAGTTTATACTTATAGCCTGTAAAGAATATTGTTTTATGTAAAACAACAGCAGTTTTAATTAAATCCATCAATAAATTATCATCAGCATGATAAAAGGGAGAAATCTGACGAAAATGCTGTGCATTAATCGGTAGCCATGGTCTATTATCCCCATATTGGCATAAGACATGGGTTGATTCTCATATTATTGACAGTGCCCCGAAAAAGAAAATTACATATAAAGAATGTATGCAAAAGCAAGTATTCATAGTTCTACTAACTTCAAGAGAAGAATGAAAAAATAAGCAATGAAATACAGCAACAAGACATAGCCCAACAAGAAGTGGTATTCTGGAAGTCGAAAATAAATAGAATCAATGGCACTCAGTTAATATGCATTAAAACAAAAACTACATGACAAGAGACAGCAAGAGAATCACTTCGGTGAAAATACATGACAAGTTCTACATAGTGCCAAGTTTGGACCATATGAGTAATGGAGATAATAATTAGATGCAACATTAACACTTTATTTTTATTTTTTTAAATATGCCATATTTTAAATTGAAGGTCGAGTAACTACAAAACCATGTTAACAAAAATTGAACAAAAAAAATAAAAATAACGAAAGTAATTTACTTTTGGTATGTAGAACCAACAACCATTAATCCAGCAGTGTCAGCTAACTGTTCCAATTCACTGAGAGATTCTTCTGTGCCAAAAGAATCCTGAACATCACTTTTGCGCTCCACGCCTACAACATAGGCTTTCTCTTCAAAAACCTAAAAAAAAAAAAAAAAAACAGCGAATAATAAGAATCAAAGAAAACCGAAATGGAGAATGAAGTTGAAAAATTGAAAGGATAGTAGAGGAGGAACCTGACCTCCCTTCCGTTGCGGAGCTTGTAACGGTTATCGTTATCGAAGGTGTTGTCGTCTTCTTTCTTCTTTGCAAGTCTCGTCCCTTTGTTATCTTCATTGAGGAGTAGTGGTGGTGCTGCTTCTTCTTCGTTGTGTTGCTCTGTCTCCAACTCAATTGCAGGGTTTCGGTTCAGCGACGAAACGGCGTCGTCGGAGTCAGTGGACACGACTCCAAGGTCGCGTTGCAGAACAGAGGTAGTAGTGACCCTAATTCTGTTCTTGTTCTTAAGAGAGAGAGGGCATAAACGGCGAATAGGAAGATGAGAATAGCGTTCTTGAATCAATGGTAATGGCGACGATGGCTGAATAACCGAACCGTACATACACGCGCTCATCTCTCTTCTCAGAGCTCAACTCTACTTGGTGCTCACAAAATATCAGTAAATAATAAATATTTAAAAATATTAACACCTAGGAAAAAGAAAATATAAGAGAACATGAAAATTATTAATTGCTGTATAGCAAATAACACGTCATCTACACCTTCATGCCCGATTATTGTAATTTGCAATGAAGCAATTTGATTTACTCTCTACTAAGATGGTTTTTATTTTATTTTTTTATTTTTTTATTTATTTTTTTTGGTATTTAGGGTTTTTATTTTGTTGACTAAGAATATGTATCACCTATGATGCCCCGACACTGACACGGAACACGGGACACGATACGCCGACACGTTAATTCTAAAAAATGTCATATTCCGACACATTGTGACACGTTTTGATATTACATAATATTTTTAATATATATAATATAATTTTTATTTAATACATATAACTAGGGGTGAAAATGGGCTGAGCTGGGTCAAGCTTTGTCCCGAAAAATCTAAGCCTACGCCAAAAATATTTAATTTGGCCTGGCTCAAGCCTAGTACGAGTCTAATTGTTAGCCTGGCTTGGCCCGTTTATAATAAAAACAAATGGTCTGGCCTAACCCATTAGCTTGTTAACTTTTAACTTCCAAGCAAAATCATGAATCAACTTTACAAAATACTCAAATTCTGTTGCTAAACCAAAACTCATAATTTCAACGTTCAAACAGAATCATGAATCACAACAAAACTCATACAATCTGCATTTAAGTCACTTTCAAAAGCAAAATTCTCAAATTAAATAACATATTTTATCAGATCTAACAAATAAATCCATACTATGTAAATTAAAATAACTACATGAATCCAACAAACACACCATGATGCTTGTAGTAAGTATAACCTCTCCCAAAAATCTTTTAATATATTCATATACACAATCTAACATGCTGAGATGTTGATTTTTCCTACATAAGAAATAAAGTCAGATTTTTTTTAAAATATAATCGAATATAACTAAGTTCCAAATAATTACAATTGATTAAATTTATATCTTTTGTTTTTCTTAAAGGCATACTTATTATATTTTAATTTATTTAAAATAAATAATACAATATAGGCCGGTATGTAGGCTTATAGGTTAGGCCTTGTGAAAGTAGATCTACGGCCTTTTTATTAAATAAGTTTTTTCAAGGCTCAAGCCCGGCCTATTTTATGAAATATATTAAGTCAGGTCTGGACTTTTGTAGGCCGAGCTGTAGGCCCCTGTAGGTCGGGTCGGCCCAGTTTCACCCCTACATATAAGAGCCCATAATAAGTCATATAGTCAATCAAATATTCAAATTTTATAACATAAATATAAACAAAAATAATTTTTTGCACCTTGTTAATTTTTCATGTCAAATTTCATAACAGAGAAAAATTGATTTATAAATTATTTTTTCATGTTTAGTTAATAAAATAAAATTTAGTTCTAAAAAAAAAGTGTCGGATGCGTGTTGAAGCGTTGACCGCGTGCTGGAAAAATATGTCAGAAAAACGTGTCAGAGCGTTGACCACATGTCTCATAATGTTGACCGCGTGTCAGAGCGTGTTGGTGTTCGACACGTGTCGGACACGCATTTTTTCAAAAATTTAACGTGTCGATGCTCTGTTGTGTATGACAACCATTCTGTTCTCTTATATTTTTTTATAAAAAAAATAATTTTTCTATATTTTTGTGTTTTGGAACAGTTTTTTAGGACAAAATGTGTTTGATAATATATTTTACTTTTATTTCTAAAATGAGAATTGAGTTTGATAACATAACAAATAATAGAATAAAAAATAATTTCTATAAAGTATAAAAAAAATTTGAATCATCATTTTCCTTTTCATATGGTGTGGTGGTGGTGATTGTGACATGGTGGCGGCGATGGTGGTGGCGGCGGTGGCATGGTGATGATAGTAGTGGTGGTGGTGGTAATGTCGTTGTTGGCGGCGATGGTGGTGGTGACGGTGATAGTGGCATGGTAGTGATGTAGTGGTGGCATATTGGTGATAATGGTGGCGGTGGCGTTGTGATGGTAATGGTGGCGAAGGTGGTGGCATAGTGATAATGATGGTGGTGATAGTGAAGGTGACATCATGGTGGTGGTAACGACGAATTTGGTGGTACGATGACTACGGCGCCGATGGTAGCGGCGGTCATGTCGGGATGGTGGTGGTGGTAGAGAGTTATACTCGGGAACAACAAAAACAGAAATTTTTTAATTATTTTTCTGTTCCCCAGCACAGAAATTGAACCGGTTCATTTTCAGTAAATAAATAAATAAATTAGTTTTGTCAAACACTGTTTTTATCCATTTCTGTTCCCGAAAAAAAAAACAAATTCAGAAAAAATTATGGTGTGCATGACAACCATTCTATTCCCTTGCACTGTTTCTGAAAATAAACAATTCTTTTCTATTTCTGTGCCTTGGAACAGTTTCGGAGAAAAAAAAATATTTGATAACATGTTCTATTTTTATTCCTAGAATGAGAATTGTGTTTGATAACACAATAAATAATATAATAAAAAATAATTCCTATTAAATATAAAAATATTTTGAATCATCACTTTCCTTTTCATATGGTGTCGTTGTGGTGGTGGCGGTGGCGACGATATGGTAGTGGTGGTGACAATGACGTGGTGATGATAATGGTGGTGGTTGTGATGGCAGTGGCTGCGGCGATGGCGGTGGTAATGGTGGCGGCGGCGACGATAGTGGTGGGGATAGTTATGGTGAAGGTGACGACAATGGCTGCAACAATGGTGGTGGGGATGGTGGTTGGTGGCGTTGGTGGCGGCGACAATGGTAGTGGTGGCATGGTGGCAGTGACGGTGGTGGTGGTGGTGGCGGTGGTGGTGGTGGCGATGGTAGTGGTGACAGTAGTGGCTATGACGATGGTGGTGGTGGTGGTGACGGTAGTGGTTGCGGCAATGGTGGTGGTGGTTAGTGACAGTGGTGGTGATGGTAGCAGTGGTGTCGTGGTGGAGGTAGTGGTGGCAGTGGCGTGGTGATGGCAATGGTGGCGGTGGCAGTGGTTACGATGATGGTAGTGGTGGTTGATGGTGGTGACGGTGATGGTGATAATGGTGGCTACGGCGGTGGTAGTTGTGGAGGTGGTGACGGTGGCATGGTAGTAGTGATGGGTGGAGGTGGTGGTGGCGGTGGCGGTGGCATCGTGATGGTGAGGGGTGGTGATGACGACACTAGTGGTATGACGATGGTGGCGGTGGTCGTGTCGGGATGATGATGGTGTTGATGATGATAGTAAAGGTGGAAAGTGATTAAGAGAGATAAGTGATTCTCATTTTGTGCCCGGGAACAAAAAAGCAGAAATTTTCTGATTCTTTTTTTTTGTTCCACAGCACAAAAATTAAACCGGTTCATCCCGGGAACAAAAAAATAAATCGATTTTACCAAACGAGTTTTCTATCCATTCCTATTCTCGGAACAGAAATTTAAAAAAAAAGTAATTTCGGTAAGGTTGTCATGCACACAAGTGATATTTAAGCTAAGTGGGCTTAGGGGAACCCTTAGTAACTTATAATAATCATAAATATGGCTTGGATGAGTTGAAAATAATCTAAGTTACCTAAGTGAGCCTTGCATGTGATTCTAAGTTATATAATTAATTGAAGATTTAGGTGGCTTGTTATAATGCACTAAAATACGTAATGATGTAATAATTGGTCTAGACTTGTAATGGGCATATTATTGGCATATGAGTATGAAAAGTGGAATCATTAAATGATTAAGTCGTGGATATGCCTTGATTAATTAATATGTAATTAATGATGTGAATGGTTCCTACTCTAGGTGTGCCTAGAGAACCGTACACTTGAGGATTTTGTTGGAGCATACGTATACTATTGGAGTGTGGGCTTGTGCTAAGCTCCCTGAGGTAAGCTCCTAGTTCTAGTTGACTCTTCTCTCTTGTGGCCCCACCATGGTGGTGGGCATTATGGTTATATTGTATGAAAGTATATGGCATGATGTATATGTGCATTCATTCACATTCATATAGTTGTTATATGATCTTGATGTTATGATGATGCACTGATGATATATGTTATGAGGATCCTGGCCAGTGATCATGGTATGTAGGCTGCCTATGACTTGACTCTGGGAGCTATTTCATACTGAGGTTGTGTTGACTGTCTATGGCTTGACCCTGGAAGTCACACATGTGTAACCGTTTATGGCTTTGACCCTGGGGTTACACAAGGATGATATGATAATGCTATGTTTTTGCTGTATGTTTGTATTATATGCTTTATATCTGACTTGTCATGCAGGAAGTGGGCTCAGGGGAATAAAGGATCCTCTATGAACCTTGAGCTTACTGAGATGTTGTTATCTCACCCCGTTTGGAGACATCATTTCAGGTACCCAGAGTAGTGGTGATGCTTCCAGGGGCAAGGCCCCCGCATTGGAGTAGATGATGATGCAACTGATGATTTTATATTATGTTTAGATTTGATGTTAGCATGTAGACTTGTTAACATGCTGAATTTATTTTATGGAGATTATTGTATGTGTTTATTTAGGCTCATGATTGTATCCTTAGAGCTATGGATTAATTACTGATGTTTTTATAATTTGAATTAATATAGACTTGATGTATGCATTCAGTTATTTTGGGCATGGAGCCTTCTTTTTTGTATTGACCCATTGAGGGGATTGCAGTCCGTGTGGGACTTGCAAGCTGTCTGTTTAAATTATTATATGTATCAGGTTAACTGTATGTGTGGGACCAGGTTCCCAGTTATCCAAAATACAGTTGTTATGCTGTCCGTGAGACTCTGTCAGGAATGACACTTGATGTCATATCTTGAGGGTCAATGGCCACTAATACTGACTCATGGGATTAATTACTAGATGTATGTTTAGATTTACGCTTCAGCAATATCTCACGTGAACGTTTTTAGAAATATTTTTATAAAATGTTTTGGAAAAAGTTTACTCGTATTTTTATAAGATGCTTTATTCCTTTTCAAATAAAGTCTTCCGCTGTGAATGTC